CACAAGCATGAGGACCTGAGTTCAATCTCCAGTACCAACAGGAAGAGCTGAGCACAGCGGGGTGTGCCTGTCATCACTGCCCAGATCCCTGGGGCTTGCTAGCCAGCTGACCCAACCAAATTGGCGAGTTCCGGGTTCAACAAGAGACTGTCTCAAAACTAAGGTGGAAGCCAGGCATGGTGGTTTATACCTTTAATTGCAGCAGAGGCAGGGGATTAAACAGAGGTGGATCTGAGTTCAAAGCCCAGTAAGAAGAGAGAGAGAGAGAGAGAGAGAGAGAGAGAGAGAGAGAGAGGAAAGAGATGGAGAGCAACCAATGAAGAAACCCAGCACCTTTTCACTTACATGTACACAAACATTGGTACACATAATCATACTCACAAACACACACAGAAAAAACGTTTTGCATTCTTGTGGAAAATAGTGGCTCTTATTTATGGAAAGCAAAGATTTAACATTTCTCTACTAAATTAGCATCAAGTTAGCGTATTTTTAAATTGTATCAGACAAACAAGCACACCCATCTCATTGGTATATAAATTTGATTTCACTTTCAGTAAACTGTAAAGCTTTCTATCCATACAGATAATTGTTTTAAAGTAAATTTCTTTATGATTTGCTATGAGTTAATGTTTGATTTGTAGATCTATTTTATATGCCTGTGTATCCTGGACTCTCTAAGAAAATTAAAGAGCAACAACAAATTAAAGCTTATGCAAATATAATTCAAGGAGACGGGCCAGGTTCCACCCCAGCCAGGCAGCGGAACTTGACAGCTTTAGCCATGAAGTTTAGAATTGTGAAGGATGCCAGAGTGAAGGGGATGGGACTCTTCCTCCGAGGTCAAGGGAAGCTGCCGAGATCTGGTGTGTGGAGAGGCCAGGGTGTGAAGCTGTGAGGATGGAGCTTGTATTGAGTTGGAGACCCCACGATATTGGAGGTGTCAGAGCTGTGGGAAGTTCGCCAAGGAGAGCTGCAGACAGGGCGTGGAACCAGCCAAAGAGCACCATAGTAGAAAAAGTATTGAGACACCCCCAGATGCATAGAGCGACACAAAAGATAGGAAAATGATTTTTCTTGTGTGTGCACATGTGTGTGTGTGTAAGCACAATATGTGTGCAGTGCAATGCACATGAGGCCAGAGGTTACAGTGGCATCTCTCAGGAGCCACTCACCTTATTTGTTGAGACAGGTTGTCTCCTGAACCTCGCTGTTTGGCTCGGCTGATTGACCAGGAAGCCCTGGGACCCTGCCTGTCTCTGCATCCTCAGGGCTGGTGTTACAGAGGCTCACAGCCACGCAACTTTTCCATGGGTGCTGGGATTGAACTCAGGTTCTCAGGTTTATGTCACAAGCACTTTACACGGCTCTGCTTGCTTCCCCTGCCCCTGAAAGTGATGTTTCAGTATGCTGGGTACCAGACGGAAAAGGACAACGGTTCCTGGGAGACATGGAGAGAACCTATGGTCACCTCAGCTTATTGGCCTGAAAGGACTTTCTGGAAGCAGTGAGGAGAGGTGAATACAGGTGGGGGCATGGAGTCTCCCTGAGTTGGAGAGATGCTGTGATGAGAGCCCCGGGAGACGGTGGCCCCTAGAGTTTGTGATGCAGGGTTTCATGAGCAGAGAGGGCACGTTGGCTAGTTTTATGTGAGCTTGACGCAAGCTAGAGTCACTGCAAAAGAGGAAGCCTCAGTCGGGAAAATGGCTCTGTAACAGTGGTTCTCAATCTTCACAGTGCTGTGACCTTTTAATACAGTTCCTCAGGTTGTGATGACCCCAACTACAGAATTATCATTGCTACTTCATAACTGTAATATTACTACTGGTTTGAATCATGATGTAAATATCTGTGTTTCCTGGTAGCCTTAGGCGACCCCTGTGAAAGGGTCTTTTGACCCCCTAAGGGGTCATGGCCCACAGGTTGAGAACTGCTCTCTACAAGATTAGGCTGTAGGCAAGCCTGTAGGGCATTTTCTTAATTAGTGATTCTTGGGGGAGAGCCTGACCTACTGTGGGTGGTGCCATCCCTGGGCTCCATAAGAAATGAGGCTGAGTAAGCCATGGGGAGCAAGCCAGTAAGCAGTACCCTCTGTGGCCTCTTCATCAGCTCCTACCTCCAGGTTCCTGCCCTGCTTGAGTTCCTGCCCTGACTTCCTTCCTCAAGGGACAGCGATCTGGAAGTGCAAGCCAAATAAACCCTTTCCTCCCCAAGTTGCTTTGGTATGGTGCTTTATCACAGCAAGAGAAACCCTAACTAGGACAGAGAAATGCATAGTGACTGCAGAGGTGAACACTGGCTTCTGTGCTCCGTGCTAGTTGGGACAGAGAGATAACCCCAACTAGGATAGAGAGATACACAGTAACACCGACTAGAACAGACAGATACACAGTAACCCCGACTAGGACAGACAGATACACAGTAACCCTAACTAGGACAGAGA